CCATTGCACTCCAGTCTGGGTGACAGAGTGAGACTCCAACTCAAAAAAAAAAAATTTTAATTCTGTTTCATACCGTCTTGAACTCTCTTCAAAGCTCTTTCCAACCTTCCCTGATGGTTCTTGTTGGCTCCTGCTCAAGTGATGTTCAGCCTTTGATGGAGTTGACCCCTGCTTTGTCCTGCATTTCTGGGTGGCCCGACTCAGGAGACCATCTCCAGGCTTCACCGTCCCTGGGCAGGACCTTGGTCAGAAGGACTCAGGGCCCCAAGACCCAGGGAGCGGGTCCCATGCCCATCACAGGGTGGGAATTCAGTGCTGGGCTCAAAAGTTTTCTATTCCCTTCAGAAAAAACCCAACTGTGATGTAAGGATATAACGCAGCTAACTTATATTCCAGCGACATTTGCTTAACTCCCTCGACCTCAGGCAGCTGCTGCTTCCATTCTTTTTCAATTTATGGCTCTTCCAGTAGTCAAGGACAGGGCAGTAAAAAAAATTCGTCGCTTGCAAAAAAAAAAAAAAGTATTTGAGAGAGATTTTGGAATTAATCATGCAGTCTCTACCTCATGTTTTCCTAGTGGATCAATGAGACAATATTGGTGCCACTGGTACAAGAGACGGAGTCGGTCAGCACGCAGATGAGGCGGATGGGCTGTCCTGAGCTGCAGATCGGAGGTGAGTGGAGGAGGGAGGATGCCATGGCTCTTGCAGGTGGCCAGTCTGCAGGCGGTAGGGCTCTTGTACAGACTGTTTGACAGCATCTTTTGTTATCTTGAGGTAAAGAAAAAAACCAAAATATCTGTAATAGAGGTTTTTTAATGTAGCAGCTTTATTGAGATGTAATTCACCTGCTTAAGAGCACCGACTGAGGCTTGGGGGTGTGGCTGTCACCACTGTCGACTGTAGAACGTTTCATCACCCATGCTACATGCCCCGGCCCGTGCAAGCATAGTCTCCTCTCTCTGTAGTTAGGCCAATTCTGGATAGATTTTGTATAAGTGAAATCACATGATATGTGGTCCTTTGTGACTGACTTATTTCACTAGATAAATTGTCAAGGTTCGTTCATGTTGTAGCATTTATCAGTTTTGTTTTGTTTTGTTTTGTTTTTGAGTCGGAGTCTCACTCTGTCGCCCAGGCTGGAGTTCAGTGGCACGCTCATGGCCACTGCAGCTTCGGTGTGTGCCACCACACCCAGCTAACTTTTTGGATTTATTGTAGAGATTAGGTCTTGCCAAGTTGCCCAGGCTGGTCTCGAGCCCCTGGGCTCAGGCAGTCCTCTCACCTCGGCCTCCCAAGTGGTGGGATTACAGGCATGAGCCACCATGCCCAGCATTTTTTTTATTGCTGAATAATTCCCCAAATAGATCCACCATTTGGCTTCTCCATTCACCGTTTGTTTGGCATTTGGGTTGTCTCCACTTTGGTGACTGCGAATGATGCTGCTGTGAGCAGTCTTGTGCAAGTGTTGGTGCAGGCACCTGTTTTCATTTCTCTTGGGCTTACACTCAGATAGCCAAGCCTTCAGCAGCTCTGTGCTTGACCTTTTCTGAAGCAGCTGCCCCATCTTATGGTCCCCCACCCCCAGCCTAGGAGGGTTGCAGTTCCCACATCCTCGCAGGCACTTGGTGTGTGAGGAGGTGTGAGGTGTGCCTCATGTGGTTTTGACGTGCATTTCTATTGTGGCTGCTGATGTCAGACATCTTGTGTACATCGGCCCTCTGTGTATCTTCTGAGGAGAATGTCTGTTCAGATCCTTTGCTCGTTTTTAAATCGAATTACTTGGGTTAAGCTATTATCCAAGAAAGAAAATCGGTAAAAATGCATGTTGTGTGCCCTAAGCGTGCGGTGTTGATGAGGTGTGGTCGGCACGGCCGTGTCCTGGCCGTCGCGGTCATGCCCATCACACACTGCCTCACCCGGAGCAGCTTCCAGTCCTCAGGCCCCACCGGTGGGGCGAGTGCCCCAGACAGGCGGCCCGTTTTTGTCTTGGGCGCTCTCCTTTGACTACCTTTTCTTTGGTTCATTTGTTTAGATCCACAAGCACTTGCCATTGTATGACAGTTGTGATGTGGTTTGGATATTTGTCCTGTCCAAATCTCATGGTGAGATGTGATCCCCAGCGTGGGAGGGAACCCGGCCGTGGGGACGGGTCCCTTGCCAAGGCTCAGTGCTGTTCTCTCTCTGCTCGTTCCCAGGGGAGCTGGCTGCTTACGAGCCCGCTCCCCTCTTCTTGCTACCACCTTGGCCATGTGATATGCCGGCCCTCTTGCCTTCCCCACGAGCCACAGCTTCCTGAGCCTCCCCAGAACTCAGCAGGTGCTGGTGCTGTGAAGAGCCGAGAGCCAAGCTAACCTCTTTCCTTTATAAATGCTGCAACCTTGGGCTCTTCCATGGGATGCAGAACAGGTGACCGCGGTGGTGATGCCATAACAGAAAGCGTTTGCAGGTGGCGCTGGGGTCTCAGGTGCATGAACTTGAGGGACAAGGACGCTGGAACCAGATGCCAGAGGGAGAGGAGACTAACCCAGTGTCCCCAATTGTGGCCAGAGGAACTCCCCACTTGTGTCAAGTACTGCTCCCCAAAGGGGTCTCCTAAGCAGCCCTGCGGGGATGCCTCAGTGAGCAGAATGACCAGACTTCTACCTCATTCAGCTCTCATTCTAGTAGCGGGGACACAGTGAACACAGTAGAGAGAGCGCACCAGGCAGTGGCCAGGGTTGAGAAGAGAGAACACCCAGGAAGGTGGTGTGCTGATGCCTAGGGGCTTGGAGGGCGGTGGTTGGGCAGCATTGCTGGTTTAGTGAAGGCTGAGGCCATGAGGAGCAGCTTTGTGAACCCACACAGAAGAGCGCTTTTGGTGCTCTTGGAAACCCACAGAAGGATGATTGGTTCTCTTTGTTTTGTTTCTGACAGAGGCCAGTATCACCAGTTTGAAGCAAGCCGCCCTGGTCAAAGCTCCTCTCATTCCGACTCTGAATACAATTGTTCAGTATCTAGACCTTACGCCAAACCAGGAATACTTGTTTGAAAGGATCAAAGGTAGCTATTGATTTGAAGAGAAAAAAATAGGAGTGTTTTCTTAATTGCATTGGGATTTTATAAATAAAGGTTAACAAGGAAAAAAGTTTCATTTAAAAGTGTGACTCTCTATATTTTATAAATATATGTATTAAATTATGACTTAATTAAAATAACATAGCTTTGAATATGCTAATTTTTTTATTTTTTTTTTTGGCGTGTCACTGTGTCACCCAGGCTGAAGTGCAGTGGCATGCTCATGGCCACCACAGCCTTGACCTGCTGGGCTCAGGTGATCCTTCTGCCTCAGCCTTCCAAGTAGGTGGAACTACAGGCACATGCCACCATGCCCAGCTAACTTTTTTTTTTTAATTTATTGTAGAGATGAGGTCTCCCCATGTTGCCCAGGCTGATCTTGAACCTGTGGGCTCAGGCAGTCCTCTCACCTTGGCCTCCCAAAGTGCTGTGATTATAGGCGTGAGCTGCCGTGCCTGGCCTAGCTTTGAATATGTTAATTAACGTTTTATTTTTTATGGGAAACTATAAGCTAAATGGGCTCAACTACCAAGAATGGAGACCACAGGGATAGTCTTCATAATTTCAGCATGCTGATTCTGATCCTGATTTCTCAGAATGTTTGTAGTTTTTATTTAATGCTTCCTTTTCTTGTGTTTTCTTTTGTTTTTTTGTGTATTTGAGTTGGAGTCTCCCTCTGTTGCCCAAGCCTGGAGTACAGTGGCATGCTCACAGCCACCACAGCCTCGACCTGCTGGGCTCAGATGATTCTCCTGCCTCAGCCTCCCATGTAGCTGGGACTGCAGGCACATGCCACCACATCTGACTGATTACTTTTTTTTTTTTGAGTTGGAGTCTCACTCTGTGACTCAGGCTAGAGTGCAGAGGCACACTCCTGGTCACTCCAGCGTCAACCAGCTGGGCTCCGGCAATCCTTCTGCCTCAAGTAGTCAGAAATACCATGCCTGGCTAATTTTTTAAATTTATTGTAGAGACAAGGTCTTGCCAAGTTACCCGGCCTGGTCTCGATCCTGCGGGCTCAAGCAATCCACTCACCTCAGCCTCCTAAAGTGCTGGGATTACAGGCTGAGCCACTGAGCCTGGCCTGCTTCCTTATTTTCTATTGTATTGTCATTATTTGGGAGAGAGCTGGTCCCCTGAGGAAACCAACTTGAGAGTCAGGAAATGTAGCCTGCTGACACCCCTTCACACCCTTACTCGGGACCAGTTCATAAAGTTAGAATTTCTAAAAATTTGGATAACTTTAAAAAATGTTCTCATCACTAAAACAAGCTTTAGCAATAGCATGGAAGTTTACAATGAACCTTAATTTGGAATGTTACAGTGTTCCCCTTTTTTCCTAGGTTTGGATTGAATTTCAGGATTAAGCATTTTCTATGACTGTTTTTTTTTTTAATCAGGGTCTTCCCCTGTCACTGAGGCTGAAGTACAGTGGCGTGATCACAGCTCATCACAGCCTCAACTTCTTGGGCTCAGGGGATCCTTCTGCCTCTGCCTCCCAAGTAGCTGCGACTACAGGCATGCATCATCATGCCTAGCTGGTTTTTTAATTTTTTGTAGAGGAGAGGTCTCACTGTGTTACCCAGGCTGGTGTCAAATGCCTGGGCTCAAGGAATCCTTCCACCTCAGCCTCCCAAAGTTTTGGGATTACAGGCGTGAGCCACCGTGTCTAACTGGTAATCCAATGAATTCATTGCCAGTTCATCTGTAAGTATTCCCATGTGCATCTCTAAAATACATGGCTCTTTTTTAAAATTTTTTTTTCAACCCAGGCTGATCTTGAACTCCTGGCCTCAAGTGATCCTCCTGCCTCAATCTGCAAAGTAGCTATGAGGTTCTGTTTCTTTACACACACACACACACACACACACACACACACACACTTTTTTTTTCCTATTTGAAAGTACATTACAGGCATCATTACTTTTCAGCATGCATTTTCCTAAAAATAATGTTCTCCCACATGGCCACAATATAGTTATCACACTTTAAAAGTTAATAATGATGTTATAATACCACTGAATATGCTGACTGGGTTCAAACTTGCCAGGTTGTTAAACTTGCTCTTTCTGTGTCCTGTATTTCATTGGGTTTGGGTGTTGCAATCAAGTTTTTAAGATGATCTGCTTCCCTTATTGTAGTCCCTAAGCCCTTCCTTCTCTCTTGCTTATTCTTAGCTTTTAAAAATTTCGTCTTTTTGCCACAGAACTTTCTCAGGGAGGCTGTATGAGCTCATTTCGATGGAACAGAGGCGGAGACTTCAAAGGACGGAAGTGGGACACGGACCTGCCCACGGATTCTGCTGTCAGTCTCTGGGCTTATTTGGGTTTTCAGCTAAATGTTTTTGTTATTGGACTTCTGTGCTTCTATTTCTCCATTATAAAAAGTATTTTTACATTTAGAATATAAGACAGAAATAAGAAATTATGATAGTTCTAGCATCTTCACCCAACACTGTTAATATGTTGGTGGGGTTTTTTTCCTCCATACTGTTTTGTTTTGTTTTTTTTTTGAGTTGGAGTCTCACTCGGTCGCCCAGACTGGAGTGCAGTGGCCGCTCCCAGCCACCGCAGCCTCCACCTTCTGGGCTCCAGCGATCCTTCCGCTTTAGCCTTCCAAGTAGCCGGAATTACAGGCGCGCGCCACCACACCCGGCTAATATTTTGATTTATTGTAGAGATGAGGTCTCGCCTGCCCAGGCGGGTTTTGAACCCGCGGGCTCAGGCAATCCACTCACCTCAGCCTCCCAAAGGCGTGGGATTACAGGCTGAGCCACTGAGCCCAGCTCATACTGTTTTTTGATGTTTTTATCATGGCCAAAATTATTCTGTATGTAGAATTATGTATTCTACTTTTTATCATTTTTGGAATGTTTAAATACTTTTATATTTTTGCACGTTATTTAACTGTTCTTCTATATTGGACCTAAATGTTTGAGAAACTCGGAGAGGATTTTTATTTGCTTTTCTATCATAAAATAATGTGGCAAATAATATGATGCAAATTTCTTTTTTTTCTGTCACCAGGCTGGAGTGCTGTGGCACGTTCACGGCCACTACAGCCTTGGCCTGCTGGGCTCAGGTGATCCTTCCGCCTCAGCCTTCCAAGTAGCTGGAACTACAGGCACGTGCCACCTTGCCTGGCTAATTTTTTGATTTATTAAAGAGATGAGGTCTCATCAAGTTGCCCAGGCCGGTCTCAAAACCGTGGGCTTAGACACTGCTCTCACCTCGGCCTTCCCTGAATTCCTTTATGATTTAAGAGAGAAAAAGGTCCTATAAGCGAATTCCTGATTCTTATAGGAAACAATGCTTTTGATTAAACGAATAGGTATGCTACATGAATTATGTGTTATCTTTTGTTCTATAGATTTTATCTTTTATTTTGTTTGAGTTGGAGTCTCACTCTGTGGCCCAGGCTGGAGTGCAGTGGCAAACTCCCAGCCACCGCAGCCTCAACCTGCTGGGCTTAGGCAATCCTTCTGCCTCAACCTTCCAAGTAGCCGGAACTACCAGGGCGCACTACCACGCCTGGCTGATTTTTTTCTGTATTGTAGAGATGAGGCCTCAGCATGTTGCCTGGGCTAATCTCGATCCCACAAGCTCAGACAATCCTCTCACCTGGGCCTCCCAAAGTGCTGGGATTATAGACTTGAATCACTGTGCTCGGCCGATTTTATCTTTCAAATGTAACTACTGGAGGCCAGGCTTGGTGGCTCAGCCTATAATCCCAGCACTTTGGGAGGTCGAGGCGAGTGAATTGCCTGAGCCCAGGTTCAAGATCAGCCCAGGCAACTTGGCTAGACCTCATCTCTACAATTAAAAAAAAAAAAAGAATTAGCTGGGTGTGGTAGCGCACACCTGTAGTCCCAGCTACTTGGAAGACTGAGGTGGAAGGATTGCCTGAGCATAGCAGGTTGATGCTGGGGTGGTCATGAGTGTGCCACTACCCTCCAGCCTGGGCGATACAGTGAGATTCCAACTTAATGTAAATAAATAAATAAATAAAACCACTTGAAAGGATTTTTGCTAGTTCTCTCTTTAGGGAAAAGTGTTTAAATTGGAGTCATGATAAACACCATTATTTCTTTTTTTTGAGTTGGAGTCTCACTTTGTTGCCCAGGCTAGAGTGCAGTGGCACAGTCACAGCCACTGCATCCTCTACCTGCTGGGCTCAGGTGATCCTTCTGCCTGAACTTTCCAAGTAGCTAGAACCACAGGCATGTGCCACATGCCTGGCTAATTTTTTGATTTATTGTTGAGACAAGGTATCACCATGTTGCTCAGGCTGGTCTCAAACCCCTGAGCTTAGGCAGTCATCTTGCCTTGGCCTCCCAAAGTACTGGGATTACAGGCATGAGCCACTATGCCCAGCCAACAACACCGTTGTTTCTAAAGGGCTCCATCTATGACAGATCTGATGCTGACTTTGAAACGTATTTCCTCATCTCCAGATTGTCATGCATGTGTTCTGCACCTACCTGGACTCCAGATTACCTCCACATCCCAAGTACCCTGACGGAAAAACCTTCACTTCGCAGCACTTTGTCCAGACTCCAAATAAGCCAGGTATAAACCTCTCCTAAAAGAATGTGTCGATTCTCACATGCTATATCTCCAGTGACTTGTTTTTTAATGTAGCATCTTTCCTTTACAGATGTTACAAATGAGAATGTGTTTTGCATTTATCAGAGTGCTATCAACCCTCCCCATTACGAGCTGATCCACCAGCGTCATGTCTACAATCTTCCAAAGGTATTTCTAGATATAGAAGTTGCTTTTCAGCCAGGCTCGGTGGCTCAGCCTGTCATCCCGCGCCATTGGGAGACTGAGGTGAGTGGATGGCCTGAGCCCGCGGGTTCGAGACCCGCCTGGGCAGC